CTATATATACAAATATATATATATATATATATTATATGAATAACATGCAAATATACATGTATATGTCTTTCTTCTGGCATATTCCCTTTGGCCCATCAGTGGTGGGACTGATTCTCTCCACAGACACTCTCAGGGAGCTGGGGAAGGGATGAAAGGATGCTGCTTCACAGCTTGTTTGGGTTCTCATCAATGGTTAGAGGAACAGGCTTTGAACTCTGGCTTTGGCCTGCAGTAGATAAACAGGACTAGTGTATCTTGCTGCTCCTCTACCTTTGAGAAAGGAGAACAAACAAGTCTGGCAGTTTCAGCCATGTCTACTTGGCCATGGCAACCTCAGCCAAAAGCAGGAGATCGGGTGCCAGGACCCAGCCAGGACCTCTTTTGTTCCCTGCCTGGAGCACAGCGCTGCTGGTGATTAACCTCCTCTCCTCTCTGTGATCTGGGGTTTCTAACTAGGTCATGGCCACTCACTGCACAGTCCTCAGGGGAAGGGGGTCAGTGGGGGCTGCAGGAGCTTCTGGAGGGGGGAGAGGGCCGGGCAGGTGGGAAGGAGCTCAAGAGAGGCAGCCCCACCCTCCAGACCCAGAGCTCCGAGCAGTTTGGAGCCAAACTGCTTTCGGGAGATTCCAGAAGTCTGGCAATAGTTGGGGTATCCTGTTGTTTATAGGGCAGCCCTCGATCCAGCCGTAACCCTGGCACACTGCTGCTGGGAGCCAGGGTGACCCCTGGAGATGGCTGGGACCAGATGCCACCCACAGGAGAGGGAAATCCTGGAGGGCAAGGCTGAGCCTGGACCAACCCCGTTGGGGGAGTTCTGAGGTCTTGGTCTCAGTGGAAAGGGTGAGAGGAGGGAGCAGAGGAGGATCACGCTCACATCGAGGTGTTCATGTACAAGGTGATGCTGCTCTGGGTTATTTGTAGGAGAGCCAGCAGTGTTTGGTCAGGGCAGCACAACCAGAGAGGGAAGGGCTGTGTAATCACGATTCCTGCAGGATCATGGAATGGCTTGAGATGGAAGGGATCTCACAGACCATCTCATTCCCTGCCCACACAGCCCCCGGAGGTTCTCTGGGATCACGGAGACAGGATGAAGTATTACCATATGCTGCATTACTTGCTTATATTTCAGTTCCCTGATGATGATGGGGACACAGGGACTCCTTCTGACCTTTTTGCCTACGTGATGATGAAGATAAACCCCCAGCTCTCCCTGTGGGACGGTCTGCAGGCATTCCCTGCCGCACGAGCTGCTCTGCAAGACCTTTCCTGAAGGCATCAGCTCTTCCCAGCAGGGAAGGAACAGGGACTCTGTGCTCCTGCGAAGCAGCAAAAGAGGGAAATACTGCGAGGATTGGCCAAGGAGGGGCTGCAGAGCGGAGCAGAGGGGGCTGGAGCGCTCGGCCCGGCGGACGGAGCCCGGCTGCAGCCGCGGAGCTCCGAGCGGAGCTGCTGTCCCCGGGGAGCCGCGGGCCGGTGTCGCCCGCTCCCCCCGGCAGACCGGAGCTGCCGGCAGGCGACAGCCCACGAGATGGCACCAGAGCCCCGCCTCAGCCCGGCACCGAGAGGACATCGCTGGACCCTGCGAGCATCAACCATGCCCCGGCATCGCGGTACCCTTGGCTCCCTCCGGGAGTGCCCGGTGGGCATCCCGGCACCCAGCGGTCATTCCAGTCCCTCTGGACATCCCAGGCAGACACCCCCAACACCCAGCAGGCATCCCGGTACCCTGCTGGCATCCTTGGCACCTGCCGTGCCTCCTTGTGTCCTCTGGGTACCCCAGTACCTGGCAGCCCCCCCAGCACCCTGTGGGCACCTGTCCCTTAAACCCTGCAAGGGCTGTGCGAAGATGCCCTGTGAGAGAACCAAGGAGGAAGGGTTTGCCTTTCACCAGTATTTCTACAGGGAGATAAAGGGTGTCCCAGGTATCTCGGCACCCTCTGGGTATTCTGGCACCCTCCGGGCATTCTGACACGCCCTCTGGGCAGCAGTATCTCAGCAGGGAGATGCTGGTGATCTAACCTGAGTGCCATAAGGTGGTTAGATCACAGGGACAGCTTGGTTCCAGGGAGGATGTTCTCCTGCAGAGTAAAGGCCATCCCTTCCCAAAACAGCCTTACCAGCAAGAATTGTCCCTAAACTGGGCAGGGAGGCTCCTTGACATGTGTCACTTTGCAGAAGTCCTGCGTGTTTGGCTGGGTGGTGTGGACTCGCAGAGGTGCCTCAGTGGACATCTGGATAGTGATGTTAAATAGGAGATGCTCATTTTGATACCCAGGCACTGTAAAAGCTGAAGGTCATCAATTTTGTGACAGCTCAGGCCCTGGGCTGTTGTGTCCTAAAAAAAGCAATCAGTCCTCCTTCAGTGCCACTTCCTGATGGAAGCATATCAGAGCTCCAGCTGGGATCAGAGTGCAAAAACACACCCGGCTCGACTCCTGCTAACGAGCAAACAGCCCTGACTTGTCCCCATTATAATCCCCCTGCCGTGAGCCCGGTCAGGGGTATAATGTGATTGTTTTCATGGCTATTTGTGGCTACCTGAAACCCCACCACTGCTCTTCAGCACATAATTGCCCTGAAGAGGGACAGTTTCCATCTCCACACATGATGGTGCCCATTACTGTATCTATATTTTATTAGTGGCTGTTGCAATGTACATTAAGGAGATGATGAGGAGCATCACTGTGCTGAATAAAGCTCTGCTTTGAAACCTTGAGAAGACATGGTATCAGATTAAATGGAGTCAAAGGGCACCTTCTGCCTTTCTCAAAGGCCTGATTCTGCTTCCACAAAGGCACAATTTTCCCTGGCTACAGAGGGAGAGGGGTTGGCACCTTGTCCACAGCTCCAGGTGGGCTGGATGAACACCCTGGGGAGATGTGTCATATTCCCTGCTCCAGCACAGCAATAGTCAGAGGGTGAAATCCTCATGCCACAGGCACTCAGGTGCTCTAGAAGTTCTGAATGCTGCCCATCAACCCTACACACCGTGTCCACTTCACAGAGGTCAGGATGGATGCAGGTCTGTATTCCCAGGAACATATCCGTAGAAACAGCTGTAAACCCACAGTGGCACTGACTGGATATTTAAACCTCCTTTCCCTAGGGGGCATGCTGCTATTTAGTCACCCAATGGTCCCTTTTAGTTCTACTCTGTTTCTTATCCCTGGGGTTGAAGCCAAGAAATGCTCCAGCGAGGAATCACAACACACTGCCTTTCTGATTAACAGGATGCTGTGGGGAGCGATTAAATGCTGGGCTGGAGGCTGTGTTGGCCTGGGAGAAGACAAGGGCTGAAGGGTTTCACTGCCTGCAGCTCCCTGATTTGGAGCAGGACAGCGATAGTTTGTACTTCTCCATCCCTTCGAGCACCGTGCTGCCCTGCCACTCCTATGCAGGGGTAGCGAGGAGCTGGGCAGAGCTCCCAGGGCACTCATCACCCACACACTGCCTGTCCCCTTCTCAGCTGCTTCACAGGGCTTTAGGGCTATTTGCAAGATTGGAAAAACCCAGTCTTGAGGAGAGGGTTCCAGAATTTAGGAAGTAAGCACAGGCAGACTTTTATCCTGGTTGCTTTTCCTTGGGAAGTGGACTGAAAGCCAGCTGGTTGATCCAGCCAAGGCACAGCAGTCTGGGAGGGAGAGGGCTCTGCTGCTCCTGGGGTCTTTTCTGCAAGAGAACAAATTAGGCTGAGGATTTCAGGCATTTTCTTGATATTCAAGCCAGCACTGTACAGGCAGGAAGGTCTAGAGAGAGAAAGAGGCAGGATGTGTTGTGGTAAAAGATAGGCAGTGGACGCTATTTTGGATTCCTTTAGTCCTTTGCCTGCCAGAGCAGCAGAACCTGCTCAAAAAAACTTTTCTATTTACAAAATCTCTGCAGACAGAAGGGAAAAATCCTCGGAGTCAATGAAGCCAAATATTTGGCTCATTTGCACACCCTAATGAGGGCTTCTAGGAGCCTTGAAAAGCAAGACCAGGCTTTGATGTCAGCTAAAAAGCAGCTCCCAGCATTGAGCAGTGCCCAGTGCCAGGATGGACCCCCACCTGTGCCCAGGCAGAGGGGTCTGTAAACAGCACAGACCCCATCACTGGGGAGTGGGAGACGGTGCAGGGCAGCCCGCAGTGACTGAGAACGGGGGGACGATGCAGTGCAGCGTCCCCCCATCCCTGGGGCTCAGGGACGATGCAGTGCAGCCTCCCCATCTCCAGGGACCAGGGCGTGATGCAGTGCAGGCTCTTCCATCCCTGGGGACGATACAATGCAGTCTCCCTCGCCATCCCTGGGCTTCCTGGGATGATGCAGCAGAGCACCCCTACACCGGGGATCAAAGGATGATGCAGTGCAGCCCCCCCATCCCCGGGGATCAGAGAACGATACAGTGCAGCCCCCCATCCTGAGGATCAGAGAAGGATACAGTGCAGCTCCCCCATCCTGAGGATCAGAGGATGACCATCCTTGGGGATGATGATGCAGTCCCCATTCTCGGGATGATGCAGAGCCGCCCCACATCCCTGGGGGTCAGAGGAGGATGCATTCCCCCCCCCATTCCTGGGAACGATGATGCAATCCCCCTATCCCTGGGGATTAGAGAAAGATGCACCCCCTCCCCTCCATCCCTGGGGCCAATGGCGCAGCGCAGCCCCCCATCCCTGGGGGCGATGATGCCCTCCATTCCCGGGGAGCAGCAGGCGGTGCAGCCCCCCATCCCTGGGGGCGATGATGCCCTCCATTCCCGGGGAGCAGCAGGCGGTGCAGCCCCCCCGTCCCGGGGCCGGGAACGCAGCGCAGCCCCCGTCGCTCCGGCCCCGCCCACAATGGGCGTGGTCACCCCGGCCCCGCCCCTGGGCCGTTACTTGCTGCCCCTCCCCTGCCCTCCCCCTCCTGCCGGCCGCGCGCTCCCGCTCACCGGCGCCATGGCGGAACAGCCCGAGGAGGGGGCACCGGCACCGCCGGCACCGGCACCCCCGGCTCCCCCCGCCGCGCTGCCCCTCTCCGCCCCGCCGGGCGGCTCCCAGCGCCTCCTCTTCTCCCACGACCTGGTGTCGGGCCGCTACCGCGGCTCCGTGCGCTTCGGCCTGGTGCGCCTCATCCACGGCGAGGACTCGGAGGAGGACTCTGAGGAGGGCGGGCGCGGGACCGCGGCCGGCGGCGCCGCCAGCTCGGGCGGCTCTGAGTCGGGAGGCCCTGGCGCCGGCGGCGGGGAGGAGGGCCGCGCCAGCCCGCTGCGGCGGGGCTACGTGCGGGTGCAGTGGTACCCGGAGGGCATCAAGCAGCACGTCAAGGAGACCAAGGTAACCGGGGCAGGGGGCGGCCCGCGGCCTGCACGGGTCCGGGTCCCTCCCCGGGGGGGCTGGCGCCGGTTGCGAGACCGGGGCGCCGCCTTGGAGGCCTCCCGGGGCAGGGCCTGCACGGCCTGCGGGGCTGCGGGGTGGGCTGCGCTGGAAGCTCCCGAGCAGGAGGAGGTTGCTGCCTCGTTTTCCCCGTGACGCCCGTCCTTGCCCGCCCGTGCAGCGAGCGGCCGGAGCGGGGAAGGGGGACGGTGTTCTGGAGAGTGTGAAATCGCATTCCCTCCCTTTATCACGCTCCCTCGGGCAGCCCAGCATGGATGCTGCTGCTGTCTTGCGCTGAGGGCAGAGCACGGCTGCTCTGCTGAGGCAGTGGGACTTGCTGGCATAAGGAGAAGCGTGCCTGTGAAGGTGATTTGAGCGAACTTCCAGACATCTCTTACTTGCTGGAGTTGTAGGCCAGTGTCTCAGCCTTTATTGCACAGTGTCGTCATCGCCTGTTCTGGGGGAGTCAGCAGTCGAGCAGGGAAAACACCCCTGGATAAAGATTTCAGCAGGAAGCAAACACGGTTTGGATCTACCCTTGTTTACGTGAGCATTTACCCCTTGCTAATGAGGCACACGTAAATCTGTGGCATCTTAATTATATCTGACGAGCCACAAGGTGTAAGTCTGCGTTGGAATATTCCCATTTCCCAAAGTTGGGCTGGCTGGGGTTTTAGCCCAGAGGCTGACTGACAGTTCAGAGACAAAAGCGGGCGAGGGGGGCACTGTAATCGAGCACAAAGGGGCTGCCAGGGATGGGCGTTGCACTGAACAGAACGGGTGCCTGCACTGTCCCTGCAGGGTCCCCCTGCTCCTCTGGGCTGGCAGTGCGAAGCAGGAGGCTTCTGGAGAACCGTCTGCTTTGCTGTTTCAGAAACGGCCCCACACGCCGCAGGAGGGAGGGGAGACAGAGGAAGAAAGGTGTGTTGCAGTCCTAAAGGCATCGCTAGGATTGCCAGTGCTACAGAATGAGCTAAATTTAGGTGGTAGTGTCATTAGACACGTGACTGCATGGAGATAAGGAAAATGAAAACAGGTATTCTGAAAAGCTACTGCTACATGATGTATTTCTACCTTAAAAAAAAAAGCCTCTCTTCTCTAAAAAAAAAAAACTCCATAATTCAATCACTGCAGCCTTCCAGTAAAATCTTTGTGTGTTGTTGCAGCAAAAATTTGTCCCAAGTTGAGTTTGGTTTTTAGCATCTAAACAAAGCCACCTCCATTTAGGTGAGTAAACACAGATTTAGTTGGTGCTGCTGGGTTCCCAAATCCAGACGTGTTAGCTCTGACTTCAGTCACTTGGTAACTGCACCCATTGCAGTGTTAGAAAAAGCATGAGGAGGATCAGAAATCAAAGACAGTTATGTAAATAAACAGTCTGTCTTCCCTTTTAGTGCTGCTGTCCTGGTGTAGGTGCCTTTACCATGTGGGTAATGGACCCTGGGGAGAAGTTTCCTGAGTGCTTGAGAAATTTAGGTGTACTTCTATTGATTTTTTTTTTTTAATTGGAAAGCTGCCCACTAACCAAATTGAGAAGCATTGTGTACAGTCTGCACTGCAGTTTGGGATTGCTGAAAACAAACCTGATGCCACTGGAAGCATGCAGTAGGACTGATCATGGTTTTGTGGCTGTAATTGGGTTTTTTAGCTGTCTGCTGACCCAGCTCCTTTTGGGTTCCCCTTTTGGGTATGTGAGAACCAGCCAGGTAAGCCTGACATGCTTGTCATTGTCATGCTGGGAGGGGTACAAACCATAGGCATTATATATGGTTACCCTGGGTCTGAGGTTTGTTGGCTTTTTTGGTGCTGTTACCAGGTACATCTTTTGGCCATGCCTGACTCTCTAGCATCTTTTGCTTGTGAGAGTTTTATTTGACATCCTTAAAACATTAACCTGTCCTGGTGGCAGCTAAGCCATGGACTCCAGAGGATGCTTGTTGCACTCTTTTATTTTCCTTAAATCTGAAATGGGAAGAAGGTAAAGGTGCTCTTGGGTCCAGGGCTTTTGTGTGTCTATTTAATGTATCAGATCCTGATTCTGCACAGAAAGCTGGCTGCCTCTCTGTCTCCTGTCTGTCAGGTGCTTCAGGATCTGGGAATCCTGGTGTGTGTGTTGGATAGAGCGAGTGTGGTAATCGAGGGACAAATAAAGTTGTTGGAAATTTTGGGTCCAGTGAAACAGCACCTTTGGCTTCCAGTGCAAAGGTCAAAAGCAACTTTCTGTACCCAATTATATCCTCAAGCTTTCCTGTCTTTTCTTGGACAGTTTGGGTTTTTTCTATGTGGGTTGTCCACTCATTTTTGCAGTTGGTTGCCCCGGTATCTTGAGATAGAGCTTAGCAGCTGGTGCAAAACGCGACCAGCTCCTCCAAGAATTGTATATGTGTGCACAGTTCCTGCCTTTGGTTCCCCTGTTGATAGTCATTAGCAGCATAACAATGATGTGAATAAAGAAGAGCCAGGATTTCTTCCTCTCTGGCTTCAAGTGCTCCTTTCCTGCTGTCCATGGTCATATCACCCATTTAAGACACTGGGAAATCACTGTTGCTGAGTACTGTAAAACCTAAGCAGATCTGGAAGGAGAAAGCTTCCCATTCCAAATATATTTGCCCCATCCATGACTTGCCTGACCCAACAAATCTGCAGAGCAGTCTCTCTGGCTGGCTAAAGCTACATCTCTGGATGTAATTTGGAAGGCAGATTTGGAAGTACTATGAACTGCTGTGAACACTTGATACTTTTTCTAACAAATTATCAGGAGTACTTGGGACCTATCTGAATTTTAATTTCAGGATCTCTCTGCTGTAGCTCAGCATTCCTACTGCACACTTGGGCTGCCTTTGGGAACTTTATGGAAATGCTTAAACATACTAGGTATTAGTGAGGCTCTGGGGACTTTAAAATGCTGCTGCCCTTCCTCCTGCCTCTCCCCTGAAAGCCTCAGAGCTCTCTGCCACCTTTAATTTTCACAAAGCCTGGGCAAGGCAGATAGGCCTCTTGTGCAGCTGGGGGAAATGGAAAGTGCAGGTGTTGTGTTTCAGCACCTTATCTGAAGGCCTTCAACCAGCCAGGCCTCCCGAGTTCCCTGTGCCTGCCTCTGGGAGTGAGGGCTTGGTGTGACGCTGTGATACACAGGCAGTGCTGGCTGATGTAGGTGTAGGGACCATTGCAGCACCCCAGGTTTGCCCTAAGAGTCCAGGTGCAATTTTAAAAAAGTTCTTATCAACTTTTTTGTGAAGTCTAGAATATGATTTAGTTTGATTTACTCTCTTACCTCATTCAGCTCTACTTTGGAAACGGATTCAAACTATCAGGACTCCTCAGACATAAGCTGGTGGCTGATAAACTCATCACCTGGAAATTACCTGATGCTATCTCCAAAAGGCTCTCCATGAATTTAGCTCTGCTTCATCCCACACAGACCTGTTCTTTTCCACCCTTTGCTCCTGTAATTTCCTGACCTCCAGATATTGGGTCATGGATCTAATACAAGGTCACGGGAGAAGTTTTTGAAGATCCTCAAGGTCTGTGTTTTCCCTATGTCTGTTCACGGCCATTCTGAGCCCTCACTGCTGGGATCCCAGCCCACAAGCAAGTGCCCTTCAGATGTTAATCCTAGCTAGTGACTCTGCAACTTATTTACAACTGAGGCAGGAAAACAGCCTTAAAAATCTTCCATCTTCAAACCTGGCAAAGTGTTGGCCATGTGGAAGTGCAGTGATGCAGTGTGGGTACATTGGGCAGGTGAAGAGCGATAGAGGATCCTTCTCTGGGCCGTGAGGAAATGCTGGCCACAGTGCCAAACTCTGGTTCTGTTGCAGCACACAAATTCCATGCCCATAAACTATAAATAGTGGGTTTTACTGCATGAGGAAGCTGTATCTAACCCTCTTCTTGCATCTGACATTTCAGTTAGTCTCCCAGGGGGTTCTCTGAAACCACCTGATGTTTGTAGCTGTTAGAGACAGAAGAGAAAAGGCTTACTGGAATTTTTGCAGTTCTGCATAATACAGAACCAATTAATGTGCAACCTTTCCATCCTGTAAGTATGTTTTACTTTGATTTGTTTGGCTCTTCTGATATAGACTTGGGGATCATCATTAATATTTTACTGCAAAAGTGGAATCCGGCACAATTCACAGTGTGGAAGTCTCAGGAGTACTAAATATTGTACATTGTTACTGCTTTGTGTACTGTGTGCAGAGTGAATTGGTAATTTAGGAGTTGAAAGTGGCCGTCTGGGCTAAGCCATTTATTATAATTATTCTAAATGTAGACAGGAGTGTTATTTTTAAAATGGACGAAGCTTGTCCTCAAGCGAGCAGTGTTTGTGATGTGCTCTCTTCCAAGGTGTGCTCCCTTTCAGTGTGCTGCTATAGCTTAAAAAAACCCCAAACTAAATTAGTAATGCTTTTAGAACTAGTAAACAAACTAATGTGCACTAAAAGCTTTAGAGGGAATCAATCAATGCCCGTGACAGGCTCTGAAATACCTGTGTGGATGAGACATTTTGCTGCAGCTTTCTCATGTGAGTTTATTTGCTGATGCAATGCAGCTCCAGTTTAGACTTCGGCAAAAAAGGGACTTCAAGCAATTTTATAAATTTTCTTTTTTTGGCTGAAGATTCTTTATTGAAGTTAAATAGCAGTAGCTTTGACAGACGGTTTCTGGGACAAGGTCTTGCTTGCCTGTGGTAGCTGTCCGCTGTTCCTCTCCTCTCTTCAGGCGAAAGACATTATTTTTAATGTTCAACATCTGTGTTGGTGTGGGAAATAATTGGTGTTTAGAAAGCTAAAAGCCACTTCTCCTTTGACTGTTTAATTGCTTGGGGGATTTCAAAGGCTCAGAAGGTGATGACACCTTCCTAACTGCTACTTAGGAAAACCCTGCCTCATTTTTTCCGTTCTGCTGTTACCTCCCACCATGTGCAGATTCTTTGCCCAAAGGGACCTGTGTTTAGG